AGAAGAATGTAATGATTATGGGTTGGATGTGATATTTTGTTTTTTGTGGTTAAAATAGCCTATTTTATCTTTTGTGGCTAAAATAGCCAAAAAAGCCCCGTTTAGCTCTTGCCAAACGGAGCCAAAGTAATGTTATGAATTCAGATATTAAAATTTAAAAATTATTCAGAATTTCACATGAATAGTTGAGATTCATTTCATATGTAGACCTACACTTCATCAATTTAATTTTCACCACCCAAACCCATTTCTGAGTCTTAAATTCTGGGACCCTAACTTTTTTTGTGTATATATGTATAAATATATTATGAGTATTGTTATTCAAGACTAAAAATTAAATTAAATTCTTAAATCTAATGATGTAACAATTAATTAGGATATTAAAAATAATATTATCTCATATTTTCTTTAATCATTAATTAATTATATCATTAAGTCTAAAAAATAAAATTAAAAGGTAGACTTACGTATCATTTTTCATATAGTTTTTGCTTAGGATGTAGGTTTGCTTTTTTGTTTTGTTTTTGACTTTTTAGCTATTTTAATTTGGAGTTAAAAAATTCGTTTAGGATAAATTTTTTTGCTTTTTTAAATTTTGTGAAAGAAAAAATAAAATAATTATAATTTAAATATAATATTTTAGTCTATTTTATATTTTTATGACTATTTTAATCCAAAAAAAAAATTTGTATACCAAACATGGTGCTGTTTGGGAACATGAGTTTCAGGCTATTATAGCCTAATTTTGAAAATCAGCCCAAAAGCCTATACTGTAGCAACTTTTTTCTTGATTTTTCAAAAATAAATAAATAAATAAATAGGCTGAGCGCTGGACAGTGTAGGCTGTGCCTACACTGTCACAGCCGGAAATGGTTACATCAACAGCTCAATTACCATTTTGCCCCTCAGCCGGAAATTAAAAAAAAATATAATTGTAGGGACAAAATGGATATTTAAATTACAAACATCTTTTCAACACATTTTTTAATACACTAACTCAAATAAAAATTTAACTCAACTTTTCAAATACAAAACTAAAATAACTTATTAAAATAATCAAAAAATTAAATAACTTATTAAAATAGTCACTTTCCAAACGCGGCCAGAGTCATCATATTGTCAAAAAAAAGTCCGAAGATGTGAAGCCTGTTTGGGTCAATTCAACGGCACCCCGTACATTATACTCTTTCGCCAACTCGTCGTCGACGTAAACAGAGTAGGAAATGATTCCCCCACTCGCGCACTGTCTCCATCACGCGAGCGTACTTCACTCTCCTATTGTGCCGCTTACAAATTTTACGCATCGTTTGTTTATAATATTTTTAGATAAAATATTTTTTTATATTTGATAATGGTAATGATAAACGAAAGTAGAGGTGATGGGGCAACTATGATAGTGACCGTGGAGGTGACAATAGTGATAATTGTGTGATGATATTAAAGGTTGTTTGGGGTGTCCTATATAAGTGTATTTTTTATTTTTTTAAATTAAAAAATTGAGATTGAAAATATAGATATTTGGGTTAATTTTTTGACTTTTTATGAAAAAATGTGTAATAAAAAATTGTAAAAATTGATTTGTAGGGAAAAATTCGAATTGGGAGTTGTGTAGCCGTAATTGTTGACTTTTGATAAATAGTGTTAACTTTTTAACTTTTTAGTAACTTTTTGGCTTTTTAACTTTTTTACAAGTTCCCAAACTTGGCCATATAATTTTAATTTAGAAAAAGTTTTTTATTTTTTAAAATGAAAAATATTTTTTATTTAAATGAACTTATTTTTTATTGATTATGTAAAATGGTTTTAGTTGACTTTCATTTTTTATTATATTAAACACCAAAAAATATAATAAAAAAAATACCCAAACATACAGAGCGTAAATTAAAATAAAATACAATAATTTTATAATTATTTTTTATTATTTTTTAAATTTTATGAAAATATATGTTAAAAAATAGAGAGAATAGATTAACTTTTATAGTGATTTTTTTAGACTAATTTAATCACTTCCCAAATAAGGCGAAAAGGTGATTTGAGAATTGATTTTTTATTTTTTTTAAAAAGACAAAAAATAAAATAAAATGAATGAATTGACATTTTATAATTATTTTTTGGTTCCCAAACTTTCACTCCCATATACGCATGTATTCAATCACTTTCTTTTTAATCTTGTGCACACTCAATAAAAATTCCCATTTATACATACATAACGTAAGGCAAATAAAAGGGGGAAAAAAGAGAGTACTAAAAATAAAAATAAAAAGTATAAAATAACCAAGTTTATCAATAAGTACCATCTAAAAAAATATATATCAATAAGTAATAAAAAAAATAAAAACTTCAAAACATTGGCATGAAATTTGAACCACTCTTCATGAATTCGAATCATCCCAACAACTTTATTGTTACAATTATTTAAAAAGTAATAATTTATACTTTCTCCGTCTTAAAATATGAATCCCTTATTTTATTTTTTATTATCTTAAAATATTAATCTTTTTTCAGAAATTAAGAACTAAAATAATATAAATTTTTTATTTTTGTCATTTTTTCAATTCATTAACAGCACAAAAAATATAATAATGACAATTGATATTCTAAAAAAATATACTATCAAAAGATAATTTTAAAAAATTAATATTTTTAAAATGTAATAATTGTACTATTAAAAAAATTTTAAAAAATTATTATTTTGTAACCGAGGTAATAATAATAATAATAATAATAATGAAATTGTTAATATAAGCTTCGTTTATCCCATCCTAATGTGTCTTGTCTTGTTGTAAAGTAATGAATACTTGAGTTGACATTTACAATGGGCTAATACCTCATTGGAATATATTTTCAATTTATTTTTTAGACTTTCTTCAATTGATTGTTTTGTTTTCATTGGCTTGTTTTGACAGATAGGGAAAAAAATTAGTTTATTGCCTTTTTAAAATATTTTTTTTAAAAAAGAATATGTTAAAAAAAAGAAAAGATAAGTAATGAGATTTAAATAAATTAATAAATTAACTTTTTTTCTACTTTGCAAAATGGCTTATTGTCTTTTTTAGATAATATTACTTTGTTTTACTTTTAGGGGTTGTGGATTAGAAATATGAAGATGTAAAAAAATTAATGTTATTAACAATAATTCTATATTGATCATATTTTTATTTCATATTTAATTTATCATGAGTTGGCATCATTAAATTTGAAACAGACATAAGTAGAAGGATCCAATAAATTAATATAGTGGTGATTATTTACATAATAAATCAAATATAACAAAATATATTTTTATTTATTTTCAAAACAAGTTTACAATCTCTCATCACTCCCTTACCACTTCTAACACAATTGATCATTGTTGTCATTGGCCACTGCCAACCATAATAGGTTACACGACCAGCCCATGATTTTCGATGAGCTCCGATCACTTTCTAATGACTCTTTCATAATCGATCATTCAATTATCTCCTAAATTTCGATGACATTTTAATTATCAACTTCAACGACGACATCTCCAAGTAAGTAACCCACTCATTTTCTATGGATTATGCTAAAGATCCCAAATGATTTATTAAAAATTCTACCAAATCTCTCATATAGTTATGAGACCAACATACATGTGAGTTTAGGTGGATCCTATACCCATATAACAGGTTTGATGAAAATTTCATTTGGATTCATAATATTTTTCATTCTCTATCCATTGTCAACCATCGCTCCAACAATTTATTAAACATATTATTATATTTATTTGTTTTGGACAGCAATTAAATTTTCTGTTTTTATTTGCAAAATAAAAAAATAAAAACACAGCTAATGGCTTTCCGTGTGTGCGAGCCGGCCATGTGTTTAATAGCCATCTGTACGGATTAAAGAAAGCGGAAAACCAAACTGTTGCCAACTTGCCAAGCAAGAAAGACTGCTCCATTCCCTAATCCAAGTCAGAGACTGTTTGGCCAAATAACCATAGCATAAATAACTCCTAAAACAGGATAAATTACACTTGGCCCCTTTTTGTTTGGTTTATTTGATTTTATTTTTATTTTGACCTTGTATTTTTTTCCATTTTAACCTTTCATGTTTCAATTTTTTTTTCATTTACTCCAAAAGCTAACTTGTGTTTAAAATTACACAAAAAATAATACATTAACAGTCACATAATATAAAAATATTTTATTATATATAATTCACATATTTGACACAAATCTAAATCCTAATATCATATATATTTTTTATGTCATGTGACAATAATGTGATATTTTTCAGCCTAATTTTAAACATAAATTAACTTTAAGAATAAATAGAAGAAAAAAAAAATTAAACATGAAAAGCTAAAGTAAAAGAAAAATTTAGAGTCAAAGTTAAAAATAGCCAAATATAAAGAGAGAGAGAGTGTAATTTAGGTCTCGTTTAAAAACATGTTATTTTGGTAATTTTTAAGCTTTTTACAAAAACAAATATATATGATGTGACAAATTATAGTAACTTTTTTACTAAAATATTTAGTCTTTAAAATAGTTCTAAGAATTAATTATACTAATACGTCTTCAACTATTAACGAGTATCACTTTATCTCCTCATATATAAATTCATATATTTTGATCGTTTAAATATAAAAATGTATTACGTTCACCACCTTCGGATCCCATCAAGACTACCTCCAAAAGAATGTATTAGGGGTAGGCCAAGTTTAGCAAGTTGAAAAAAAGTAAAAAAGTTACTCAAAAAATTAAAAAATTATCATTATTCACCAAAAGTCAAAAAGTACGGCTACACAACTCCCAATCCTAATTTTCCTCTACACACTAATTTATATAATTTTTTAATACACATTTTTTCATAAAAAGTCAAAAAGTTAACCCACCCAAACAACCCCTTAATATACAGATTTAGGGAAGGATAAAATAATATTTATTGAGGGGTCACGGTGTAATTAACCCTAGTTCTAATTTATAGTAGTTTCTTTGTTGTGATATAAATAAATTTCACGCGCTTCGTGACATTCTCAATCTCTACGATGTTCAATCCTTATAAGAGTAGGAAAATCAGACTTGACATTATATATAAATCGAGTCCAATTCCAAGATCTATACCTCTAAAATTACAATCAATCTTTTATTTGTTCTAAGCAATTCTGGACGCTTCAAACCTTCAAAATTTCCTCTTGTGCCTTTTAAAACCCTCTCAATTCCTTCAAAATCTTCCTCCGATCACTCTGTTTCAAGCCTCTGATCTCTTCACCTTCGAATCTTTTTGCAAATCAGATCATTTCTCAAATACCCATCTTTGATTTTGTTCTTTTTTTACTAAATTTTTCTGGGTTATAGGGAAATTCTGTTGGGTTTGTTTGTTTGATGCTGTGTTGTGATGATGGATAGTTGGAGAAGACAACCAAGATCACAGAACAGAAAACCGCCTATAGGTATATATACTTTCTGGGTTTTTTTTTATGATTTTGTTATTTATGTTGGATTATTATTTTTATTATTTATTTATTTATTTGTTTGTTTGTGTGTAATTTCTGTGAAAGATGATGTTTCGTTAATGGGTTCTTGGGTTTTGTCTTGATGATCATAACTACCTATTTGCCAGGTTGAGAGTTTTTTTGATTTTAGGGTTAAAAAAAATGTTGAATTTTGTAGTTTGAATGTTAGATGGGGTTTATTATAGTTGCTGTTTAGGAGGTATTCTGTTAGGTCTTGAAATTAGGCTTTTATTTTATTGATGAGTAAATCACATATGTCCTTGAAGTTGAGTGTTCTTTGATTAGGGTTTTGATACGAACCCTTAGGTAGAATCACCCAATGGTTGGCAACTTGACTCACCTATCAGTATTTGACACCCCAATGAGTATTAATCCAAACCCATCCGATCCCATACTCACATAGGTGTGACCTATTCCATACTTGACATTGGCTCTAATACCAAATTATACAAACCCCTTGACTTGAGAATTGTCTTGCAAGGGGAGGGTGACTAAATTGTAATGGGCTTATGGATGTTATCAGTGGTGAAGGTTCTTTGATGTGTTCAGCATTTCAAATCTGGGATTATTCACCAACTTCCTTGTTTCTTTACTCTTCTTTCCTTTTAAGTAGAAGCATGTTTGTGGGATTTTCTGTTTTGATATTGTACTATTTCAATTAATACATTAAATTTTGGAAATTGAAGTTTGACAGTAAGTAGTTTATGTTATCCTATTTTTTTTTGTTAGGGTTTCCTAATTATGGGAATTAGGAACTGTACTATTGTAAACCCCTATGTTACATGGACATATGAATGTCGGGTGCTTTTATAAGTGTTGGTGACTGATTTACCTAATCCCAAATCCCAAGTCTAAGGACATGGGGACATGGCAAAATTTCATCTTTCTTTATATTCTTTTTTTTTTTTTTTAAAGGCTAAAATGGTATTCACAATGTGTCATGGTGCGTTTCATGCATAATAGGGGGATTTAATGCTAGTTGTATTGTTAACTCAAATTACTAGATATGCTTGCAACTGACTCTAGTTTCCTCTTTTTGGAAAATTTGTTTTAATTATTTATCTTGTTTCAAATTTGACACTTAAATTTTTTCTTTCAGGTAATTGGCAGCCAACTGTGCCTTCATGGGAAAAGAAATTTTGCACTGTGGTTGGTTCGGTTCCTTGGCGAAAGATTGTAGAAACCAAGAAGTGTATACACCTATATGACAACGTGTTAAAATGGAATGACTCTGCAGGTGAAGAGGCATTCCACAATGCCAAGAACCGTTTCTGGGCTGAGATAAATGGCTTTCCCTGTGACATATCGTTGCCCAATCCCGACATTCATATTGATAAGATAGATTGGAATTCAAACATTGATCCCGAGTTGCTATTAGATTTGGAACGTGAATTTGTGGTACCAGATGATCAAGAAAAACGTGAGCAGGTTGTGATTATCGGTGAACCTCTTGTCCCAAGTGAGTCATTCTCTCCGGCTGGTTGGGGAGATGCTGAAGTGGATGTGAAGAAGGCAACCAATTCAACCTTGGAAAATAAGGGAAGTCCATGGGAGCTCAATTGTGCTCAAGATAATGAACCCATTCAAGCGACTGGATGGGGTGAAATTTGGAATAATCCCAGGGAAAGGAATCATTGGGAGGGTAATAATTACGGGTCTGATAACTCAAGGTTTCATGGTAGGCACAACATGTCAAGGTATAAAACCTCGAGGTTTCATGGTGATGACAATCTTGCAAATCGGGAATGGAGGAATGGAAATGGCAAGAAGAGGGCAAATTTTGTTCACGAACAATCATTTACAGATAAAAGACCCGCGTCAAGGCAGTGGAACGGGATGAATGCATGCGGACCAATAAGCCACCATGGATCGTCCAAGCCAGGAGATCAGTGGAGTTGGGAGAAATCAGTTTCTTGAATGTGAAGCAAAATAACAAAATGTTCTTTGGTTCATTCTATTCTATTATTTTTATTGTGTGTTGGAGAGAATGGTAAATAATACAATTTATATTTTTGTAGTTTGTTTAGGAAGAGTTCCTCCTCTGAGATTTTGAACAATTTTTGCAGTGTCGGGGGAGGATATATATATATATATATATTCAAGTAATGAGTGTGTTTTGGAGTTGCCAATGCATATAAGTATGAATTTGTTAATTTGATCAGGCAGGTTAATAATAAGACCTGTTACCCACGAGGGTTAGTCTACTGCATCATTTACAAGTCTTTTTGGAAATATCAGCAAAGTTGTATTCGTTTTTTTCCTTCTGTTTCTCTGTGATATCTGATTTTCCCTCGAAAAATTTGAAGTGTACAAAATTTGATCATAGAATCGGACAGAACTTTTAAGACTCAAATCTAGATGTGTCTAGTAATGAGAGTCATCTATTAAGCCAACCCATGGCCTTCGAATGTTTGTTTATTCGATGTGATTCAACTCATTTTTCTGTTGCAAGTTTTGTATCATATTAAAGGCAAGCCAGTTAGGTTGGTATTGAAGAAAATAATATGCAGGATATATATACCACCATTATTGTAGGTAAATGGAAAGGTGGTACGTATTCCCTTGACTTTGCATTTTCTTCTCTTTGACAAAAATAGCAGTTGTTGGGTAGCTCAAATCTTAATCTTAAGAGGCATCTCTTCTGTTTGAAGGTAGCTGTGGAGTTGGGTGAGTGGGGTCTGTTGCTTTCTTCAGGGGAAACAACCATGTTGGTTGTGAAACAAAAATGCTATTGATTGCAAAAAATGAATACTAGTTTTTTATTTTTCTTTTTTTCTTTTAAAGATGTATTTTTTCGTTTAGGAAGTTTTGTCTTTTAATTTTTTTTTTTGTCTGAGAATTACCATATTATCTTTATTTATTTAACAAAAATAAACATGTTTTATAATTTTGACCTTTTAACCAAAAACAGCTTATTTAGCTACTGCCAAATAGGGCCTTAGCATACTTGCACATTCTATTTTTTTGCCCCTCTAATCTGATAATGTTATTTAAAGGTGGATAACTTGGTTTATTTATTTATTTTTATTTTTATTTTAATTTGGGGGTCAAGCCCAGTTTGGACTCAGTCCTAAAGTTTAAACTTATATTTACCATTTAGAGTAACTCGAACTTTAAATTTTTATTTTTAACCTAATAAACTTATATTTACCATTTAGAGGAACTCGAACTTTAAACTTTGAATCTTAACCCTTGGAGTTGATTATTAGGTTTATTGACATTGTTGTATAATTATGATCGTGCTGTTAAATTTTTTCTGAGAAAATTATAAAATAAAAAATAAAAAAATTTGAATTTGATCATCACAATAACATAAATCTTAAAATTTTTTGTTTTATTAATTTAAATTCTAATATTTTGACTTATTTTCAATATAAACCATAAGCTTATTTCAATCTTTTGAATGAATATTTTGATCATAAAATTAACATGTACTACTTTTTCTTTCATCTTTCACTAACAAAATCTTGAAACAAAATAGAAAATAAAGAAAGCAAAATGTTGTAATTTTCAATCAAGAGGGGCAAATTGATAATATCTCATAATTTAAGAGGGTAAAGTGTAATTTGATCAAAATACAACATATCATATAAGCCCTCCCTTTGGGAAAATTTTATTTCCACACACCTAATTAGTTCAGGGCACACACTTAATAAAATATTAATTTAAAGACAATTATATCCTAAATAAAAATGACCATAATAGACATTTAGCAACACTCATAATATTATGTAGAAAAATTCTCTGTACACATCTTTTAAGAACAAAAAAAATCTTAATATACACCTTTTGAGTTTAAAAAAAAAAAAAAAAAAAAAAAACTAGTTTTTTCATTGTTTGCTTTACTCTCTAAAGTTTGTATTCCATTGATTATATTGTTTTTTTATTAGAATCCACCATAATTCTTGATTTTTGTGATAGAAAAGTTACAAATCAATGGAAATTCAAATTCAAATAACAATATGCCTGGTTACAACAAAAGCAGTTATCTAAGTTTGTATTCCATTGATTATATTGTTTTTTTATTAGAATCCACCATAATTCTTGATTTTTGTGATAGAAAAGTTACAAATCAATGGAAATTCAAATTCAAATAACAATATGCCTGGTTACAACAAAAACAGTTATGAAAATATAAGTTTTTTCGTGCAAATTTTTTTTTTCACAATTTTAATTCGGTAAACCAGTGCCAAAACATGTTACTTTTTTCGGATATCAACTGCCGAAATTATTAATTCTATTCGAAATCCAAGTTCCGAATTTGGAATCGGAACTCAACTTTCAAATTTAAGAATTTATTTCGGAAACCAAATTCTGAAATTTTTTACATGTTTTAGAAGTTAAAAATCGAATAAACCTTTTTCATTCGGATAACCAGTGCTGAATAAGCAAAATTTATAAGGAAAAAAAAAATGAAAGTTTATGAAAAATAAGAGATAAATAAAGTTGTACGTCTTTAATTGAGTTTGATACAAAACGATATTGTTTGAAGACTTATGTTGATACAAGTCAATGCCAATTGATGACTTTTTCGATATTAACTAGATTGTTGAATGAAGGAATTAGTTTGATAATGTAACTGAAAATGAGGTAGCTTGTTATATAATCTGAAAATTCATAGAGCGATTTATTGAGAGATTCCTTGTGAAAGATGTGGGTGAAATAAGAAATGAGTCTACACTATTAATTCTCTATAAAACAAATGATTTAAGTGGTGTGTGTGCAAAATATTAGTTTAAGGTATAACTAAAACATCTGAGGCGTAGATCGAGAATAAAAATGTAAAAACTTACGCATTGAGAAAATATATTCACAGGTAAGAGCATCTCCAATGCATGCTCCATATCTTCAAATATGGATGATTCTCTCCCAAAAACAACTCCAACCCATCCTCTATATCCTCCTCCATTTAGGAAGAAGATGAATTGATCCTCCAAATATAGAGGGAGGATGAAAAAATGGAGGATCACTCTAAAACAGTATTTACTCTTTTTTTGATCTTTAATTTTGTCTTTATAACTTAATATTCAATATTTATAAAATTAGTTTCATTAAAAAGATATTAACAATACCTTTAAAATGAGACCAATATTAATTATATTTAACAAAAAATTAAATTAAATAATTTAAATTTTGAAAAAAATTTGGGTAAAATTTGAAAAAAACAAGTGAGAAAATATTCAAATTTTTAAAGAAATAGAGATATATAATTGAAATTGTCAAAAATAATAAGATCCTCTAAACTTACATTTTAAATAAAGACTATTATTTTGTTCCTCTAATATAGAGAAATAGAGAGGTATGGGTTGGAGATGCTCTAAAAGAGGGTTTGAGAATAGAATTTCCCCCATCTCTCTCTCTGTTGCAATGCAATGCAATGAAATGAATTGAGGTTGAAGTCTTGTGCTCTCTCACCCTTAAACCCTAATAAATCCGAATCGTAATTGTGTCCTTAAACCCTAATAAATCCGTATCACTAATACTTAACACTCACGCTCGAGCCCTAAGGTTCCTCTCTCTCTCTCTCTCTCTCTCTCTCTCTCTCTCAGCGTATTGTGTGTTTTGTGTATGTATGTAACTGTTTTACGAAACACAGAGCATAGGGTTTTGTTCTGTCGTTGAGACTTAATGGGTAGTACGAATTTTTGGTTTATGTATATATATGTAGCTTGTTTTTTTCTGGGAAGTTACGAAGTTATCTCATTGTTGTATTTTGTGTTTGTGTTTGACTGATTATGATGTTTCTGAGCTAATTATTCTACTTCAGACTCGTGAAAATTGAAGAGAAAAAAAAAAAAAAAAAAAACTTGTAGGGTTGAAGTTGTTTCTATTAATTTGAGAGATTTGTAGGCTCAATTAAGGTTATGGTGTTTGAATTTAATTTTGTTTTAAATTTCCTTCCTCAATTTTGATTGAATACTTGTTTAATTAATCCCCTTTGCCTTTTGTGATGGGTTGAGTCTATTCGCCGCATATTGTTGACTGGATTAACTGTCGATTCACCTGTTTGGCTGCATTGGGTTTGTTAATTGTTTTTTTGCATTAAATTTTGATTGAATAGTTGTCTAGTTATCCCCTTTTGTTGACTTCATTAATCTTTGCTTCACCTGTTTGGCTTCATTGGGTTTGTTAATTGTTTTTGTGTTTGCGTTTGTCAGGCATCATGGAGGTAGATGAGGAAAATTCGGTTTCAACTTCAGTTACTGATCCTTCTGCTGCAGTCATTGAAGATCAGACTACAAATTCTGCAATTGATCTGATTCCTATTCAACCAGTTCAACCTATTGCTTCAATACCCACAATTCCTCCAATAATTACACCTCCAGTTGTGCCTCCTATTGCTCCGATACCCACAATTGTTCCAATAATTGTGCCTCCTATTGCTCCAATACCCACAGTTAACCCCTCGATTCCCCGTTCATTGGCATCTCTCCCTGTCCGTCCACCTATCCTTAAGCCACCCCAGCCCCAAAATGGTGAGGTTAGGCCCAGTGACTCTGATCCTGACCATGATGATTCAGGCCCCAATCAGACTACTGCAGGTTCGGCTGCAGAATATGAGATTTCAGAACAGAGCAAGCAGGTGAGAGAGAGGCAGGAAAAAGCCATGCAAGAATTACTGATGAAGCGGCGTGCTGCTGCCCTTGCAGTGCCTACAAGTGACATGGCTGTACGGACTCGTCTCCGTTGTCTTGGTGAACCCATAACTCTTTTTGGAGAAAGAGAAATGGAAAGAATGGACCGTTTGCGGATGCTTATGGCAAAGCTGGATGCTGAAGGGCAATTGGACAGGCTGATGAAAGCGCACGAGGACGAGGAGGCTGCAGCTTCTGTGACAAAGGAGGAAGCTGGGGATGACATTCCGTACCCGTTTCTCACTGAAGGATCAAAAGCACTTTTACAGGCCCGAGGAGCGATTGCCAAGTATTTTGTTGTGAGGGCAGCTTTGCGTCTTCAGCGTGCAAGGAGGAGAAGGGATGACCCAGATGAAGATTTGGATGCAGAGGTTGATTGGGCTCTGAGGCAAGCTGGTAGCTTGGTCCTAGATTGTAGTGAAATAGGAGATGATCGGCCACTTTCAGGATGTTCGTTTTCACATGACGGAAAGATGCTTGCCACATGGTACTCTCTTTCTCTCTATTTTATCTGTGTGTGTGTGTGTGTGTGATTACTATATAACAAGATAAGCATAATTTGTAGGACTCCATGTTTTTGTTTTAATTGTGCAATATTTTGATGAAGCTTTTATGTGAATAGATT